GGGGATGTCTTGGAAAAGCTGGTCTGGGTAGTCAGTGAGTGCCCTGGCCAAGAGACTGTGACATCACTTGGAGGACAGGTCTGTGAGTTCTGGACTTGGGATAACAGAGATGGAATTTGTCCCTCCTCAAGGGTACAGTGCTGGACAACCACACCTGCCCACCAAACACCACAGTGTTTCCCTTCCGCCAGCCCTGCAGTTCCTGGTCCCCCACACTGTCAATGTTCATCCACTGATACCCCCACCATCAAAACAGTAACCATCCTGCCAGGCCCCCATCTATGGAGCCTACCTCTGCCACCCCAGCCTAACCTTCCAGCCTCGCAACAGCCAAGAGCCAAAAGCCCAAGTCTCAGTCTGACTCTAACTGGTTGTTTGACCTATGACAGTACACTCCAGGATACAAAGGCTCCTTTTGGCTCAAAAACTTTGTTATAGTCTGCGCCCTTCAGGGGCTGTACGTTCAATGAATCGAAGGGAAAACAAACTCAGCACTTCGTGAAGCTGTGATAGCTACCATTCACAAGAAGCCTGCTAAGTGCCTGGTGTTTGCAGGGTGCTATATGCCCATTATTTCCACTCCCTATAAGAACCCTACAAAATAAGCAACAGTATGCTCTTTGTATGGGGGAAGAAATCAAAGCTAAACCTGGTTGGCAGTCCAAGATGCCCTGCTAATAAATGTGAGATCCATGATTTGAACTTGGGTTTGTCTGATTACAGAGTCTGTACTAAAGTATGCCTTCCCATAGAGAGAGCCAGGGACCAGGCATGGTGGCTCACACCTGTAATCCCAGCACTCTGGGAGGCCAAGGCTGGCAGATCATGAGGTCAAATTAAAACCATCCTGGCTGATATGGTGAAACCCCATCTGTACTAAAAATACAAAAATTAGCAGGCATGGCGGCATGCAGCTGTAGTCCCAGCTACTCAGGAGGCTGAAGCAGGAGAATTGCTTGAACCCATGAGGCAGAGGCTTCAGTGAGCCGGGAACGCGCCTCTGCACTCCAGCCTGGGTGACAGAGCAAGACTCCATCTCAAAAAAGAGAAAGAGAGAGAGAGAGAGAGCGCGCGCGCCAGGAATGAGAAGCACAAGCTCTCTAGACAAGGGCAGGTCAGCGGGAGCTCCCCTGTGACTGGGACCCAAGAACTCCTCCTAGGTCACCCCAAGTGATCTGCTCAAAAAGGAGTATCTGAAGGTCATCCGGTGCAGCTGATCTCCAGGACAGGATGAGATGAGGCACCAGGGTCAATCTGGAATCAAGAGCTCCACGGCACTGAAGCTCCAGCCTGGATTGAATGCGTCAGGCCAGACCCTGGGTAATTACCAAGCTGAAATGGGATCTGATATTTATATTAGTCACGAGCCTGACAGAGAAAACGTGTTGTTTTCTTAGGCACAGCCATGGAGACAACATCTCGATAATTCATTACACGCAGACCATCTTTGATCAAGCCCAGGCTTCTACAAGGACAACAGCTCAAATTGAGAATAGAAATAACTCTATTCCCAGCCACACTCAGGCCCTTCAGCAAACCACAGCTCCATCAGGAAGTTGGCCTCGGTTTCCCCAGATATTTAATGAGAAGTGGACCATATGCTGGAAGATGAGCAGAAGGTGGAAATAAAGATATGTAACTGTTCTGAGACTGAATTCCTAGAGGAATTGCTGGGGAATTGCAAAACACATTCTGAGCTAGAAACTTTAACCCTGGTTCCTCAACTCCTCTCCCTCTCCTGTATCGAATCACAGAGCAGGAAGGGACATTAGAACTCACAGAATTCAATTCCCACATTTTATATACAAGGAAAGAGAGACACCAGAGAGGTTAAATAACTTCTTCAAAGTCATGGCTTTATTCAGGCTACCAGAGGAGTTCCCTATTCAATATAGTCTATGACAGGATTGAACTTCACAACGTCACAGCCAAGTAAGTAGAGAGCTCTGATAAAATCCAACAAACTAAAAAAGAATAATGCAAAAAATTACAGCAAAGAACACTGCAATGACTGTGACCAAGTTCCCAACAAGAGGAAAAAAAGTACTGGAATGACTGTGACCAAGTTCCCAACAGGAGGAAATTGTCATGTTTTCTTCTTCACTTTCTGAAAAAGTGCACATGCCACTCTTTTCAAAAGAATAAAATCATTCCCTATTTGAGATTCAGAGGCCAACGGTACTAAGGAAGAGATGTCCCACTACGCACGTTCACAGTCTTGGGTTCCTTTGATCAAAAAGGTTGGTGCAATTCCAGAGACCAAACGCTCATGAAATTGGAGTTCCTTGCCGAATTTTATCTGCCACAGAACTTCAGATGCTACAAAAGACCTCCTTTCCTGTGGACTCCAGCATTTGATCAAACCATCTTGGGGCTGAAGGAGGGTGAGGGTGAACCGATCTGAGGGCTGGTAGAATTTTCTAGAAAGGCAGCCTACGTTTTTCGTGGGAAATCTAGCACAAAAGTTATTATTCTAAACTTAAGCCAAATACATGCCTGTGTATCAAGTTTTGAGAAAACTACCAAATACTTGGAAAGCAAAAAGAACAAAAGAAAAAAAAATACAATTGCAATAAAAATACAGACCTCAAGGGTAGAAAGATATGCTTTTAAAATGCCTGACTTACCATTATTGCTTAGAATGAGCTGGCTACCTATGCTTTAAGTGAGCAAATCTAGGGGCAGTTATCAAGAGATTCTGGGCATGCTTTAAAGCAGACTCATGGTATCAAAAGGAACCTGTACTCATTGGAAACTGGCCTCACATCTGCTGAACCAACCACCATCACCTCTCATCCCTGGCAAATTTCTTATAGCAACTAACTTCCAGTTATGTCCACTCAGCAGGTCTTGGAGCTACAAAATATAGCCAAATATTTACGGATTGTTTTTTCTAATCATTGCCAAAAACCTATTTTCTTGAGTAAACTGACAGAAGTTATGCTTGCTCATCATTTAGGAGATCCTTTGTGTGTGTGAGGGGATTAGCATTTCATTACAGGCACTGCAATCGCATTTCTGTACCCACTAGCATAAAAAGATCTTGGAAGCTGTGTTTAAGACCCCAGGATCACAAAAACACCACGAGTTATTTTGAATCATTAAAAAAGTTTTCGTTATGATCAAAATTGCCCACTGCCTGAAAAAAAGCAAGCTGTTAAAAAGTTCACCCAGATCACTCCATCTAGGCAACATTTCAGATCTTTCCCCTAAAGACAGTTGCTGAATCTCAGTAAACAAGGGAACAAAATTCCTGAGGCTGTTGGGGGAGGTGGAGGAGAGGGATGGAGAGAGGGAATGTGGGAATTTGAAGGCTCTGGGAATAAGCTGTCTCAGGGTCTCAGCAGGAGGGTTAGGCAGGGATCTGGTGTACAGGGCTTTGCTTAACCTGAGGGTTTGTCTGGAAAGTGGCAGGTTTTCCTTCTTAACAAATAAAAAGGAACATCTCCAGCTGAGAAGGTAATTCCAAAGAAAGCTCTCTGGCCAGCACCTGCAGGCCTCGGAGAAGCCAGAGAATGAGGATAAGAACGATGGTTTTCATATTTCTCCCTTTGTTCCAATACACCAGTATTTTCCAAAACACAAATGTGCTGCCACAAAACACAGCTGAGCTCCAGCACCCAACAGGATGTGTAATTAATGATCAGGAGAGAGAGCCTCGGTTCCCCCTGGTGTTTTCATAGCCAGCCTTCACCCATAGCCCCTGGCTTCCCTACTTTTCTCAGCCCCCAAGAAGGCTTCTACAAGTTGCTGTGCCCTATGGAAGTTTGAGGGGGTCCTCGGATTAACTTTACTAGAAAAGATGTGAACATGTGGGGACTGCAATGTGTATCCACCTTGCACTATTCACCTGGATATCCCTTCCCTCCAAAACGGTTAGTGCTGTGAAGTCCCCTCGGATGGGAATTCCTCAGAAAGAAGGCAGCTGGGTCACTCTCTTGTTTCCAGTTCTTTCTTCTTTCTTCTGCAATTTTCTATCAAACACCATCGGATCCCCCATTCCAGCCAGCGGCTACGGGGAAGGGAGGACATCTCTAGGGACATGAGTACAGACCAGGCAGTGAGCCTAGCAACCATACATCGAAGGTGTCGCCAGCCTCAGTGCTGGTGGGCGTCTGCGCCAAGAATAGCTAAAGCCGACGACATCTAGCCACCTCGAGCGCCAGGGAAGAAGCTCCGCGTAAAACCGCGGCCTCACGCGGACCCCCGCTCCAGCTTCGCGCTGCTGGGCATTTCCGGGGAACCAAAGTGGGTGGCCTAGGGGCAAAGGAACAGAGGCCGAAGAACTTGGGGTATGTTCCACTAGAACACCTAAGGGACAGAGTGGAAGGTGACATCGGATTTACCACCTCGACACGTTCTGAATGTGGCAGCCCCGTGGGCTGCCCCAATACTGGGATGGATCTCCCCAACTTCTTTCGCCCCTCGAAGTCCCCCACTACCTCGGGCCATGCTCCTCCCCCGGGATTCCCTTGTGCAAAATTATTCTCTCCTTTGTCCAAAGAATTTTCTCTTCTATCTGACCCCACGAACTCATTTCCCCAACAGGTTCCTAAAGTATGGGTGGATGTGCTCCCTCTCGCCCACCGACTGGAGCCGTGCCCCGACAGGTGAGCGGTGCAGAACAAGCACCCAGCGGCCCCCAGCTTCCTCCGTCCAAGCGGGGTTGGCTCTCCCCACCCCGCACCACGGCACCCGAGCCCGTGCGTCCCCCACCCCAGCCCCAGCCGCAGCCAACAACCCTACAATAAATAAGAAGACAGGATTGGGCATCCGCGTCCGGGAGCGCACTGGCTGGGGGCAACTCCTCACCCTCGGCGCGCCGCCCGCTGCCCGGATCCGAGAGCACCGGGAGAGCGGAGGAAAGGGAAGGCGGCGGGGGGGAAGGCAGGCGGGATGAAGGGAGGCACCGCGCGGCACGGAGCGAGGAGGTGGGCTGCAGGGGACGCCGAGAAGCGGCGGGGCTGGCGCAGAGGGCGGGCGCCCGGGGCGCGCGTTACCTTCGTCTTGCCCCCGCAGTGGCAGCACACGGTCCACAGGTACTTGAGCGTCCGCCAGAGCAAGATGATGAAAAGGCCCCCGAAGAAAGTCACCATGGAGGAGGCCAGGAAAGCCCACCACATGCGTTGGCCCCGGCTGTCGCACGGCACCTCCATGGTCACCGGGATGATGAGCGCATCCATCTTGGGCTCGTGGACCGAGGACGAGGAGGAAGAGGAGGAGGAAGAAGAAGAGGAAGAGGAGGAGGAGGAGGACGCGTCTAGGCTGAGATGGTTCGCGTGGATATTGCTACTCATTCTAAGACTGCTGCCTCCGCCGCCGCCGCCGCCGCCGCTGCTGCCGCCGCCGCCGCCGCCACCATTTGCCATAGCTAGCAACGGGCAGCCGGCGCAGGGGCTCGGGGGAGCTCCTCCCGCCGCCAGCGCCACCCCGAACACCCATCAACAGCCATATTGCTGCTACTGCTGCCGCCGCTGCCGCCGCGGAGCGCGGGAGGGGGGCGGGGAGGCGCCTGGGCTCGGGGCGCTGTGCGCGACCTGGCGGGGTGCGCCGAGATATATACAGCGAGCCGCCGCCGCCCGCCCTCCCCCCGGCCGCCGGCCCGCCCGGGGGGGGAGGGGGATGGAGCGCGCGGGCAGCTCCCCCTCCCCGGCCCGCGCCCCGCTAGCCCCGGGCCGCGCTGGCCCCGAGCGCCGAGAGCCAGGGGGCGCCGCGGGCCGCCCGCGCCCGGGGTCTGCGCCGCCCCCGGGCCCGCCCTGGCTCTTCGCGCGGGCCCGGGTGTCCTCGGCGCCGCGCCGCCTGCCGTGCGCCACTGGTGTGCGCTGAGCTCCGGTCGGGGACCCCCCTTCCCCGCGCGCCTCCCGCGCGGCTAACGAGCCGCTCTAGGCTTATTAGGCGGCAACTCGTTAATAATGGATAATCGGCACCCTCAGCCCGGGCGCCCCCCCGCCAGCCCTCCTCCCCCGGGCTGCGCTCGGCTCCGGCTCGCCGCCCCGGTGCGCGCCCGGCCGCGGCAGGTTCACCGCGTCCGGCCGCCGGGCCGTGGCCGGCTGCTAGCCCATGCTCCCGGGACCCCCGAGTCCAGTCTGCACGCCGCTAAGCGTCCTCGGCCTCCGCTAGCTCTTCCTCCTCGCCGCCTCCGACTCCTCCTCGTCCCCGTCCTCGCCGCCAGAGTCTCTTCGGCGCGCGCCCCGCGCTCCCCTCAGCCGCCAGCAGCTGCAGCTGCGGCAACTGGAGCGGGCGCGGGCTCTGGACGCCCGAGGCGGGAGGGGAAGAGGCTCGCGGCGCTAGTTCGCCTGGGCTCCGGGCTGGGCAGGGGCGGGCAGGGCCCCTAGGCGGCGGCCCGACACGCTCCCCAGACTCCCAGGGCGCAAGGTAGAGCGCCCCCAGCCCAGGTGCAGGGCCAGGCGCCTCTCTCCAAAGGGCTGCGCCCCCAACCGAGCGCGGTGGGGTACCCTGGGAGGATGGCGGGGCGCCCTAGGCAGGCCGTTTTTTCCCAAAGAGCCCCCAGTGGGGAGGGAAGGAGTGGCCATATGTCAACGAGATTCCACATGCTGAGCGCCCCAGGACCCTCGGGCTTCGGGAGTGAGGAGGACCCTACGCCAGGATACACACAGTTACCCACCCCTACTTCGCTCTTCTCCCTGCTTCCTATGTGCCCAGTGTCCCGCGTGTGGTTGGAGGGCAGGGTCAGGAAGGCCGGCGGGTGGTTTGTGGCCCCTGACAGCAGCAGGTGGTTTTCTCCTTTTCCCTTATTAGCGACAGAGGCTGCCCAATAGAGAGTAGGCAGAGATCATCAGGGCGAGCCGGCTGGGGTAGTGCAGGCGGGATAGACAACAGAGTTCCCTAAAGGGTTGCTTTCCTCTTGTATAGTCCCGGACTTCATCCATCCTGTGAGGAGGACAGATGGGGGAAGGGGGGCTTCAGGCTTCATTCCGGCTCACCGCTCCCTGTTTAGGGTCTTCCCTTTTCCCACTTAAGATGAAGTCCGTATTTGTTCCTTGGCCTCTCTCTGTACACCACCCGGGGAATCCCCCTTCCGACACTTGCAGAAACTTTGCGCCCTCCTGGACACTGTCCCTCCTCGTGCTACCAGCGGGACCACAAGTTTTTCCAGCGCTGATTAAATCGAAGATGATCACCCTCTCCCCTCATTGCTGCAGTGGTTTCCCCAAAGTTTCCAGCTCATTAGTTTAGGCCTAACTGGAATTCTCAGGTTCCTTTCAGCTCTTCCCGTGGAAAAGGCCCAAGTTAGCATCCTTAGCTTTACACCTGCGGCTGTCTCCTCGGGAGTTAGATCAGCCCTGCCCTTGTCCTTGGAGGTCTCTGGAAGGAAAAGTGACAAGGGAGGCTGAGCTGGGCAAAGAGGCTGAAGACGGTGTTTGAAGCCTCTCTCTTGCTTGATTCAGAATGCATTCATTGCTTTAGGGTACACTTCCACTAAGAAAGAGTTAAGGCTCAAGTCAAAGGAGAAAATGGAATGAGGTAAGAGTTCTTGAGTATTTAGTTCTCAAAAAGCAGTATATGTAGGAGGGAGCTGCAGAGTGTTCTCCAGAAAATGGAATTGTGTGAGCCTCCTCTCTGTACCGTCTCATAGTACCTCCAACCTTGGCCTCTGTGTTCAGCCACTCTGAATGCATCCCTGCCACACCAGTCCCAAGCATGCAAAGGTTCTGGGGCTGAGGGAGCTGGAGGAGTGCTGTGGGGATGCACAGGAAGGTGACTGTGGCATTGAGGTTCCTTTATTTATTAGCCTTCTCAATGGCTGTACTTTGCTGTCTTTGTACCATAGCATATGCCAAGAAAGTTAAGGACATTCCTTAAATCAAGGCCAAGATTTGAAATTTAAAAATAAGACACCAAGAACATACAAAGAGTAGCAAAGGATAGTGCTGTCTCCCCAGTGGGATATGAAACCTCCAGAATGCATTCCCTCACCCCACAATTGAAATTTTGCAAACCAGCAGATGTGGGGCCTTCTCAGACAGCCCCTACAGCCTGGATTCCCCTGAAATGCTAGTCTGTGGCTACTGGTAAGCAGCTGATGGCTTTGGCTTCTGTCACCCCAGCTGCAGAATCCATAGCTTTTTCTCCTCCTTCGTCACCTTCATCACCTCAGCATCTTTGGAGAGGGTGTTGGGAGGCTCCTCAGATGCCAGCTCCTTCTGCTGTCTTCATCACCCCTGCCTCTGCTGATTGAAGCTCTTAGCAACTTCTACACTATCCAAGATCTCGGCTCAGGATTCATCAGAGACCCTCAGTGTTGAAGTCAGTGTTTTCCCCCTTCCTACAATCCCCAGTCTCTCACCATCTCCCTGAATGGCCTAGCTGGTAGGCACTGAGAGAGTGCCACCATCCACCAGAAATAGACATTGCCAGACCTTTGCCCAGTTCTCTCTGGCCATTTCCACATTGTTCACAAACTTTTGCACCACTTCCAGAAAACTTGGCACCTGGCATTACCAATTGAGGAAAAGACTCTGCACAGACAAAATGGAATCTCAAACTTAAAAGGAACCATAGGTATCTTTGATATGATGTGTTTCTTCATTTATACAATCAAAATAAAACCAGAAACTGCCCTGCCTACCTCTAAGGGTTATGTGTGAGGATGAAAAAAGAAGGCTGGGTGTGGTGGCTCACGCCTGTAATCCCACCACTTCGGGAGGCTGAGACGGGTGGATAACCTGAGGTCAGGAGTTTGAGACCATCCTGGCCAAAAGGGTGAAACCCCATCTCTGCTAATAATACAAAAATTAACTGGGCATGGTGTCACATGCGTGTAATCATAGCTACTTGGGAGGCTGAGGCATGAGAATCACTTTAACCTAGGAGGTGGAGGTTGCAGTGAGCACCACTGCACTCCAGCCTGGGTGACAGAGTGAAACTGTCTCACAAAAGAAAAAAAAAGAAAGCATCATACAGATCTTGACTGTCATTACTATAACCCAGAAAATGGACAGCCAAAGTCTAACTAGATCTTCTGACCCCTGAGCTCATACTTGCATGCACACATGCCCCCATGCCATTCTGTTCACAGCATGTCCACAGCCAGGCTGTGGCCACAGTCCAGGGCACAGCAGAGCCCCTCCAGCCTGAATGGGCTCTCTGACTACCCAACACTCATGCCCACTCCTTGTCTTGCCAGTCCCTGGACAGCCTTGGAAATGGGAAAGGTGTAGAGAAGCACTATAAGCCCAGCACATCTTCCCCTAATGTGGGTGTGTCTGCAGGCTGGAAATTGACGTCCATTGCACAAGAACTGAAAGCCTCAACAAAAGTAGAAACTTCACCCTCTGTTCTGAAAACACTGTGAGCCACTTATTTTTATTTCTAAATGCATTTAAAAGCTTCCCAGAAAGAAAGGCAACCTGTGTACCATGTGCATGTGTGTCTATGGCAGCTCTCAAAGCAAATCAGAGGTTTCAAGTTTAAGTATTCTGATCTGAACAATCCTGATTTAAAAGAAATAAAAGAAAGTAAACATACATACTGAAAAAGCAGAGTGACTAAAGTAAAAGCCTAGGAGAACAAGAAAGGTTATTTACTGAAAAGTTGGCCCAGCCTCACAATTAATGTGCAATGGATTTTCTTTTCCTCCAACCTGGACCCAGTTCCAATACTCTGACATCAGTCTTGGCGATTTTGCGATGGAGAAGCCAGGTGGTGACTCTTTAAATGATATATCGCCCTCTGGTGGATTTTCCTGGCCCATGACATTATTTCATGAATGTTCAAAAAAGGGGCTTAGTTTAACAGTCTGAAATACAAGATATGAAAATTCCAAAGAGGAAAACCCTGCTGGAAAAAACTACAGGGATTAGGGAGGCGGCATGGATCAGGACGATGTTGGTCAAAGAATACAAAAAAGTTAGACAGGAGGATCAAGAGATCTAATTGTGCAACATGGTGACTACTGTGGATATCAATGTTTTGTATACTTGAAAACCGCTGAGAGAGTTTAAGTCTTCTCACCACAGATAAATGATAAGTATGTGAGGTAACACGTATGTTAATTTGTTTATTTTATTTAGTCCTTCCACAGTGTATATGTATTTTGAAACATCATATACACCATAAACACATTTTTGTCCATGTTTTTAAAAATAAATTAGGAAAAAAATGATAAACAACAGCAACAAAACCCTACAGCTTCAGCAGAATGAATTAACTAGTTACCAGTTCTACCAGCATATAAACTGTTTTGGACAAAGTTCACGTTATTACCATGACTTGACGACAGATTTCAACTGTTCCTGCCCCCGGTAACCCTGACCTGCCTTGAATCACCACTGTGTTTTCTTTTAAAGTCATCGATATCCCTTTTTCTAATCACCCTTGGTCTTCACAGTCTCTTTGTGAAGTAAAAAAGGGCAGTAACAGCCAGGTGCGGTGGCTCGCGCCTGTAATCCCAGCACTTTGGGAGGCCAAGGTGGGTGGATCACCTGATGTCAGGAGTTTGAGACTAGCCGGGCCAACATGAGGAAACCCCATCTCCACTAAAAATACAAAAATTAGCCAGTCATGGTGGTACACATCTGTAATCTTAGCTACTCGGGAGGCTGAGGCAGGAGAATTGCTTGAACCAGGGAGATGGGGGTCGCAGTAAGTCACTCCAACTGGTGACAGAACAACATTCCATCTCAAAAAAAAAAAAAAGTAGGGTCAACAGCAATTTTCCCACTTTACAGGTAAGAAAACTGAGGCTTAGATCTGT